GCAATATGCTGACTCTCTGTAAACCGCTTAGAGAGGGCTGAAAGCCCTATGAAGCGGTATATAAGTCTACTGCTATTGCTATTGCTATTGGGGGGCAAATGTTGACCTTTCTTTTTGAACACGGAGATAAGAAAAGGGTTTTTAAATATGTTGTTCAAATTTCCTGAATTTCCTATGTGATTATTTACATTAATGCACTCTTCTTCTCTTTAAAAAAATCCACTTATGATGCAATAGCGTATGTTCATTGGTAGCTATTGACATATGCCTTTACATTTCATAATCCTGTAGAATGCAGTAAAGCTGATACTGAAGGGCAGGGATTGAGTTTCATTTAAAACATTTCCTCTTGAATCTGCACACAACCTAATATTGTGTGACATCGGTTAACACAATAATTACCACTGTTTGCCAGCAGTCCTCAAGTCACAGAGTCTGTTTAATAACTGTTCAAAGTTACAAATTGCACTGAAAAAAGAGAAAACTAATTTAACAACGGGAGTGATTCACTTAGCAACTGTGGCAAGAAAGGTCATAAAATGTCAAACTTCACTTCATAAATGTCTCACTTAGCAACAGAAATTTTGCACTCAATTGTGGTTGTTAGTTGAGGACTACCTGTACCCTATTTGAAATACCCATGGATTCAGCTCATACAATACATTCCACAAAGTTTTATGAAAAAGCAAAGCATCCTTACACCTTATACCGGACATCGTAGAGCGTGCCTGGGGGTGTCTCCCCCTTAATCTTCCATGTGAGGATATTTTCAAAGTTTGTGGACCGAAAAGTTATTTCTTGAAAGGCCAGTGATCTTTCTCCCAGTGAATTTCCTGCAAGGAAGCATGAACAAGTATTCAAGATCTGCTTCGATAGAAAATTCAGTTATAATTCTTTTGTTTCCATGAAAGTCATCGCTTTCTCTTATCTGAAATCTGCAGCAATGGGTTTCAGAGTGCGTAACAAAAAACACAGAAGAAAAGTGGCGTGTCTTAGGATATCCCAGAAGAAATATAACTGAGTATAAATTATATGTGGAATTTGGTGGGCTATATTGGACCCATTTGGTAAGATTATGGTTCAACATATTATGCAAATACCTTCAAAAGGTCAAACCAGGGGTGGGATTCAGCTGGTTCAGACTGTTCGGGTGAACTGGATGCTAACTTTACATCTGGTTCACTGAACTGGTAGTTGAAAGGACTGGCTGGCCCCGTCCACCACGTGCCTCCCCTCCCAGGAGTCTCCACACGGCCCGTTTTGGATGCCAGGTAAGTGCAGGGCCTATGCAGAGGCTCTGGGAGGGTGAAAAATGGGCCTCCCAAAAGTCCAGAAATGGGCTCGTTTCCAGCATCCGGAGGGCTTCCGGAGCCCAGGGGAGGCCATTTTCACCCTCCCGGAAGCTCAACAAAACATCCCCTCCATGGTGTAGGAAACTGAGTATGCCACACCCACAAAGCAACCAGGCAGAGAACCGGTTGCTAAAAATTTTCAATCCCACCCCTGAGTGCAACCCATTACCCCAGTTAAGCAGGCTGTGTGAAGGGAGCCACTGTGTTACAAGAGGCATTTTCTATTGCTAGGGGACTCTAAGAAAGTAAAACACCTCAATCTCCCAGGCCTAATTCTTAACCAT